TGGTACCCCAATTCTTAGTCTTCTAATCTGGGTGTCTTTTGGTGTGGCTAAAGATGGCCCTGGCCAAATAATGGAACCAATATTCTTCTCGGGGAAGCCCGAAAGATTGGTCCAAAACCCAACTCTTTTTTCTCCTGGGCCTATCACATTTACTACTGCATATGTGTTGGACACAAGTTTGCCATCCAGAAGCTCAAACTGACCACTTAAGCCTGCAAATTTGCTGTGCAGAACAAGTGAATCACTGATATTAGCAGACCCTCTAATGGCTGTCAAGTTTTGATGGGCACTTTCAATGGCCTTTCCCAGTGCCCATACAGCATCATATGCCCTGATTCCAAATACATTTAACTCCATTGCATATGCAGCTTCTTTTTTCCACCTCAAAGTAAAATCTTGAAGCTTAGGGGAGTTTGGAACATAAGATTTGAATCCCACTGCTCCCTGCATTGATTCAATGGCTTCAGGATCCAATGTATGGAACAAATCCATTGTCTTATCCGTTACCATCCATGCATAACCTGCTGCCATCATTCCTAAAGTCTTGGCACTCTGGAAAAGGCGGGCGGCGAGGGGAGCTGACACATGCACAATGAAGATTGATGTCTGCATTTTCTTGAGCTTGTTGAGCTCTTCTTCAATAATTCGATTGTCTTCGGTGAGGGGAGAGAGGGTGCTCACATGAACTACACGCACATTATTGTCTTCTTGAAGAGTGTTGAGCAGATAGGATAGAGCTTTCATGGCGTCGCCAGCAGGCTGATCATGGATGATTATGACATTCTTCCATTTATGTGCTGCTACAAATGCAGTGACCCCTTTCAGACCTGTGCTCTCATCTTCTGAAACTTGGATCAAATAAGGATGTTGTGTTGAGGATGGTAGTGGCGAAAAGGAGAAGACAGGAACTTTAGCCTTATCACCCAGGATTGCCAGAAGGGTTGCCTCACTTGATGTTTCTGGCATTATAAAGATTGCTTCTACTTTGTTGTTCTCCAGAAGATGTTGAGCTGCATATTGGAGGCGATAAACTTCTTCAATACAAACTTGTATAACTCTAAAACAACCTTCTCAATGGTACACAATGTTCCAAGTTCGATTCTGCAGTCTATTTTAATTTGAGTCTGATTTACTAGCTAAGTAACCTAATTAAGCTGGTTTACCACTTTGAGGTTTACTTCTTTGTGATAATTTGTCAACTAGAATTACAAAACTGTCTTTACTCAAAGCGCACTTTTGAATAGTATCAACAGGCTTTTCCATAAGTCAAAGAACATAGATAAAAATATACAGTTCAGTTAATCAAACAATTAACTTGGTAAGCAATTTAAGTTAGGATTATAGAGCAGGCTTCACTAAAACGTACATTTGGGTAGTGGGGCTGCGGACTTACTATATTATCAACCTATTAATATGTTCTTTCATTACTATATTTAATATTGAAAAATTTTATTTAAAATAATTTTTTTAGAAATTAAATTATTCTAATTCTAAAAAAGTTTCTTTTTTAGGTGTTTCTGATATTATTTCTTGATATAAATAATAACTTTTGAGTCATTTATGAAATGTAAAGGAATACTAATATTAATTAATAAACAATACTCTGGTACTAAACTTGAAAAAGAAAGATTTTTTTTAGAACTAAAAGATTATTTTATTTTAGAAAGATATATTTTATAATTTTTTAAATAAAATAATCCCCATGCTAACAAGTTAATAGTATAATGTATTGGTTAACATTTTTATTAATTATACAAGTAACTTGAGTTTTACATGATATGAAGATGTGATAGACTATATAATTAGGTAGCGGGTTGAATGATACAACAAAAGTATGTAACGTACGTGACAATGACAATAACAACGTAAAAATAACAAATTAGTGGCTAAGAAAGTGATATGAGAGTAAAGTATTTCTATTTGACAAAAAAGTTTAAAATAAGAATAATCGATCATTTGGTTTGATGTGAAACTGTCTTACGTGAGATATGTTTATCTTAATTTTTAGCCAATATATAACAATTTTCTACAAGTTCGCAAGTATTATATTTTAACGGAAAAAAAAAAGTGTTACGGAGTATATTGTACCTATTAATTCATTCAAATTTATAATTTCTTTAAAAATAATAAGATTTTTGTCACCTCTAATATTTATTTAATCCAAGTTTTTTGGGTATTACGTTTTCTTTGTTTTTTGTTTGTTAGAAAAATCACTAAACAATGTCCACTTCAAGAAACTTGTGATATTTTTTGTCAATGGATTGTACGTGTCCAATCAAAACGGATTGAAAATGTCATGAACTTACCATAGATTATTATTTATTACAAATTGGACGATATTTTGCCCATGATACTGTAAAAGGTGAAAGTAAATTATGAAATAACTTATTAAAATAATAATAATAATAATAATAATAATAATAATAATAATAATAATAATAATAATAATAATAATAATAATGTTTTTGAGGTGATTTTTTTTTTAATAATTTTTTCGTCCACTTTAATGGATGGAAATTCGAACAAAATGTCGCCATTTTTATATGGACAAAGTTCGAAAATCGAAAAACATATGAAAATTTTGGGATTGACTATTTTTTTTTTTTTTTTTTTTTGGGTTGGCTAGGAAATTTGCAGTAAATAATGGAGTGTGCTTGGGTAAATTTTATTAGGTAAATTGTACTAGGAAAGTCTTGTGCAACATATTACTCAATCAATTTAAAGGGATAGTTTAAGTGTCAAATGAGCCAAAGCTAATCAGAGCTCATGTGCCTCTAGGAGCGAATTGGGATTAGTCAGGCGGACTCAGACCATTAAACGGATCTAGAAAAATTCTTAACACCTCGTGGTTTACAAAAAAAAAAAAAAAAAAAAAATTAAAAAGAAAATTTAAAAAAGACTCTAGCAAATGAATTGTCAAGAATCAAACTAGTATAATATACAAGAATCATGCTCTGTTCACTTAATCACTTTTTTTTAAATAACTTTTTTATCCAATAGTTTATGAGTTTGACTATGTCTGCTTTCAATATTTTACTTTCTCAATTTTATTTCTTGATGTAGCGGATACTCAATTTTATTTTTTTTTTCATGTGAGCTTCATTACACATATCTACATTAAGATTTTAAGTGTGAGAATAAAAGTTAAGATTAAGAGAATAAAAGTACACCTAGTATTTTTCATAGTTTAAAACTAAAGAAGAAAGAGGAGTATGCAAAATTTACACTGACCGGCGGTGAGAGCAAGCAATGGGTCGCCTTCGGAATTCCTAACGTGAAGATGAATCCTCGTCCCGTTAGGCCGCTCATTATAATCGAAAACCGCCATTGTTACACAGCTCCGGACAACCTTCCCCATCGCCGATCCCTCGTCCACCACCACTCCGACGTTAAAATTCCCCCCCGGCGGCGGTCGGAACGCCGCACGCGACGACGTAAACTCACCAAACAACAGAAATATAATCAAAGAATAAATCATATTACATTTTCTCATCCCTCCTGCCGTTCAGACAATCATCAGTTTCAATCCTATATATATATCATATACATGATAGATAGATATGAAGTTGAATGACTAATTCATACAGAATTTACTATGAAGCTTCTAAGATATGGAAGTCGTTAATTGCTGTCATGACGTGGACGTTAACCAATGCCGTGTAATTACTTTGTTGCCCCCGAAGACTTTGACCATTAACCAATAGCGGCTGTCGGCTGAAAGTCTTCGATTTGCGCTTTTTAAAATGATGAAGAATTCCAACATTAAAGCAACTAATAATAATAATTAATGAAATCTTAGGTTTCTACATTTATGCTAACTTGTGAATTGTCGAATCCAAGTATTTAAGGCTTATATTAGGTTTTCTAATATATATATATATATATATATTCCTTTTCAAAGAAATTACTGCGCAATTTCCCCATATGTAATCATGTATAGTGATGTGTGTGGATAATGACGGGTTATGAACCACTATATTCGCTATCTGATATATCTTTGGTAGCTGAGGGCATAATATATAAAATATAAATATTTAACTCAACTATTATCTTAACTCCATTACAAAAGTTAATTCATTAGTGACTATTTTGTTTAAATTTATAATTTTAAAATTTCTTGTGAAGCAAATACGAGATTGTATTATTGCCACCTCTTGAGAAGTCGAAATTCACAACAGCCTACTCTAAACTGCTAACCCTTTGAACTCTTCTTGACATCAAATTGTTCCTTTTCCCCTTTTTATGACTTCAGTCCGGGCCACCTACTATCACGTTCACAAAACCACTCATGCACGTATGTGAAATACTTTAACACACGTTAAAAAATATATAAGTTTATCAAACGTAGTGAAATATTCGATTTTATTACAGCGTAAAATTAAATATAAATATATGTCAATTAGGAGGGAATTAGAATATAAATTATTCAATTTTGCCTAGTCGGTAAAATAGTTGTGAAAATGCACAGAAATTACATACGACATATGCTTCGATGTACGAGAATGACTTAGAAAAGTATGGAGTGTACGTTACATTGAATTGGCATTTTTTCTTTCAATATTTGATTTACAGACCCTAACTTACAAAACACCAAAACCATAAGTACAAGGTGTGACTTTAGTGAAGTTCGTCTTATAATCTTCACTGCTGGAAATTTCGCTATTTCCGTCCAACAATAATGTTGGTCGGTAATTTGAAAAAAATCACAACTTTCTGTCGTAGATAGGGATGGACGAAAAGTTGGATGGAATTTCCGTCCAACATTCGCGCGTTGGACGGAGGTTCCGACCGACACTAAATGTTAGACGGAAATTTCATCCTACCGTTGCGTGTTGGTCGGAAAATTGAATTCACTAATTGGTGAAATACAAAATAATAGGTATTATTATATACCGTCCAACAACACCAACATTGTTGTTGGACGGAAATCGAAATATTTAAGTTTTTAGGCGGAAAGAATGCTCATTTTTTACAAAATTTTGGGCGGTACCCTACTCATCTCCCTCTTACACACTTAGACCAAAGTCACCAAATCCTTCGCACACTTACAGTCTGAGCTCCATCGCACAACCAAACGCCTACGCATGCCGTCACAGCCGCCTCCGCTGCCAGGAAAGCCTCCCCGTCGTCTTCGCTCCCACCACCGGAGTCGCCGTTTGCTCTTCGGCCTCTGTAGTTGAAGTTCGTCGGCCTGTTCTCCGAAGGTGTCGCACACTCGCACTGAACTACTGAAGGTCGAAACCCTCGTCCTAAACCCTTGAGTCGCCGTCTGCTTTCCGGCCTCCGCAGCAGAAGTCCGTCGCCCTGTTCTACGAAGCCGTCGCACTGAACTACTGAAGGCCAAAGCCGTCGCTGTGAGTGGCCGTCTGCTCTCCGGCCTCCGCAACCGCAAGCTGCACAGGTAATAGTTTTTTTCTCTATAATTTTTTTTTAAATACAAGTATTTTAGATTTGTGAACTCCAAGAGCATATGCGATTGTGGACTGAATTTCCAGAAAAGTGACCAATTGTGCTTACTGAAATTTATGTTTGACTTGTACTAAATTAATGGAGTCTGAGATTGGTTGCCCACCAACTGTTTGTGAAAAGTCTTATGTGAGCATGACTCTAAAATTAGTGTTGATCACATAATAAATTATTCTGTTAAACAATCTAAAAATTTGAACTTTTAACAAAAAATTACTTTACCAAGAGCGAAATATGTTGCAATAGGTCAATAAATTGATTAATATTCTTAGGCTCTATTTGAATTTGACTGATGTTGGACTGTATTCATCATACCTTTGAGGCTTAATGTTCATGATTTCTTTGAATTGCAACTTTGACTTAGAAGACAAAAAAGTGAATAATGTAATGGATATCCAGCTTCTCATATTCTTTCTCAGGTTTACTATAGGAATTTGGATTTCTTCAAGTTATTTTTGGAGTGAAGCATATGCAGATGTGTTCTGAACTATGCATTTTGCTACAATAAGAATCATTAAGCCATCCAAGTAGAAAATATTTTGAATAAGTTATTAGCTTATTAAGTTTTTAGTTCACATGTTGATATTTACTTTTATTTGTTATTACTTGGTGTTTCTTCTGTTTAGCGGCTAACTATTGTGCTAATGAAAGAGGACATGGCCGGACATAGAGAAGAGCAAATGCAAGTAGTACTGCTATGTTGGAGGTTTGGTTGAGATGCAATTTACTTTGGATTTTTCCAACATTTTTGGAAGTGGTTTTATTATATACAAGTGACATTACTACTGGGAAGTTGTCCCCAGAATGCCTTCTTGATTACTTGGACCTATCATCGGAGTATACAGCTTCAGAAATTGCTAATAGAATTGAGGCTGCAATGCATATCTGGAGGCAGAAGCACAAAAAGAAGCAATAAAAACCGTAAGATTATTTTTTGCTCCCTATTATATACATGTGCATACTCATATTAACTACTCATTTAACACATTGAATCCAATTTTTCAGGATATGGATTCCATGAGGATGGATTATAGGTACGTATTACCTGGCTTATTTCCTGTTCTTAATTATTTCATTACTTAGTGTCACAATGGTGTTGTTAGGCTGGTATGATCATTGCATACAGGTTGTTAAAGAAGAGTTGCAGTCCTCTGGACAACTCAAAACACATGGTACCTTTCGTTAGGATGGTATGATCACTTTTCCATTTTCATATCCAAGTTGGTAAATTTAGTAATTTCATTAAAAATGATTGACAAGTAGCAACCCAGGTTGATCTTGGCCTAGCAGATGCGTACATTCATGGAGATACTCTTTTGTAGATAAAACAAGTCTTATTAATATTTTCAAGGTAAGAAATGCACCCAAGTTTCACAAATGTACATATTTTGCTGCTACTTAGGACCTATGAATTTATTCTACATAATTTGAACATTTCCTAGAGTATCAATATTATGCATTGTAGGCATCATGATATGCATGCCATGTGCAAGAAGGATTTATAACACTACTGTATTACATTCTACTTATTGTTTTGGTTGATAAATAGATGAGTGGTATTTAATGAGGGATTTTTCATAGGGGATGGTTCCCTCATACTTTGCTCATGTTCTGGCTCTTCCTTTAGACTAAATTGCTTTACCTTAGTGTGTGCGCTGGGCTACACTTGTAATCTAAATATAAATGTTTCTATTGTTTTGTTTTTTATTTTTGTAGATGAGGGAGAAAAAAAGCTTATTGGCTGAAGAACAGGTTACAAATTCTTGAGATTATAAACTGGAGCTAACCCGGTGATTGACTAAAAGATGAAACACCAGCGCCCTCTGAAGATTAAGTACTTTATGTTTTTAAAACTTTTTTGTGTGTATGACACTAGTGCATTGTTTAAATATTTATGGATTAGATACGATACTATCTTTTTGTTTTAAATAATTTTGATATTGAAATATATTTTCATTTTAAATTTAGATAGTGTGTACATTATTTTGTAAATGATATAGAATGTATTGACACAAAATTATAACAAGATCAAAAAAAAATTATATAAATTTAGATTTTCTTGGTTACAAATTCCGGCCAACTTGTTAGTCACAATTTCCATCCAACGGTTCAAAATTGGACGGAAACTCTCATTTTAAAATGTGGGTTACCATCCGGATTTTTCGTCCAACGGGTCAAAGTTAGTCACAATTGTTGACCAACCTGTTGGTCGGAATTTTTGTTCAACGGGTCAAAGTTGGACGGAAGTTTCCATCCTAAAATAGTGGATTGTCATTCGGATTTTCCGTCCAAACGGGTCAACGTTGGACGGAAATTCACATCCTAAAAATGGTGGGTTACCATCCGGATTTTCCGTCCAACTTTGACCTATTGGACGTAAATTCCGTCCGACATCTGATGTAGGACGGAATTAGCGATGTTGATTTTTCCGAGGTCTCATTTTGGACGGAATGTTGGACGGAAACCCGTTTTCCGACCAATAACCTCCGTTTTCCGTCCAATTTTCGTTGGACGGAAATAACAGAATTTCCAGCAGTGCTTAACCGACAAAGAATCACAATTTCACAAGTAGGTAAATCATTTTAGGTTTAATAAGTTGTGAAATTTTATGATTATCAAACTAATTGTCTAATCAATTCAATTGAAATAACTAATATAATAATATTATATACGGAGTAATGTGTTGTAAATATTTATATTTATGGCTATTAAACTATTAGACCTTTCACTAGCTTAGCCTTTAATCATGTTTTGATGTTGTGTACTTGAAAGGTTGTATATGATCACTATATAGGTGAGTGAAGGTGAATGAAAGAATACACACTTACATGGTTGTGATGCTCAATTGTGTTCTTCTCCTTCTTCCTAGCTTCTTATTGCTTTATTCTACTCACGTATACACATACATACAAACCTCGGGCTACTACCGTGCAGACACCGCGAGACAACTAACGAGTTGATAGGCCAAAACGTAACACGTTATCAGCACGAATCGCCAACATATCCCTCGGTGAACGGTATGCTCGGACCTGTTATAATACATGTTTTTATACTAGGCAAGCATGTTCATAGGATTCATATAATATATGATTGATATGATACATATTGATTCTGAAATTTGAAATATGAATTACACATATTGGTTCGTATATATATGTGCTTGAAAATTCCTAATATGAATGTGTATGAGAACATATGAAATGTGTTTTGTAGATCATGCCTTCTATTACTAGACGAGAATTTACTGAGCTCGCACTTGACAGAAGCAACTATTTGACTTGGGCTCTAGACATCGAGATTCACCTCGCGTCTAAAGAACTGAGCCAAACCATTGCTGCCGAGTCATAGTGTACTAACGGCCAGAAGGCGCAGGATCTCATTTTCTTACGTCACCACTTGAACCACGACCTGGAAAATGGATATTTGACTGAAAAGGACCCTTTTTGCATTATGGAAGTCCCTGAAGGACCGTCAAGAAGTTTCAGAGAAAGACTTTAGTGATCAAGAATGATCTATTTTATGTTCAATTGGTTTATGAACCTATTTTTTTGTATCGTTTTCTTTTGGATTATGAAGTTATGTTTTTCATATCATTTTTATGACTTGTTATCTATGTCTTTCTATTTTATCATGGTAAATGGTTCACCCCCTCTTTTTTTTTTTTAACCTTCACATGTTATTTTTGTGACAAGGCATTGGTTAATTAGCAACGAACAGCCAATGTTCGAGAAGTAACCCCGAAGATCTTACAACATTGCAAAGTTGTTGGTCGCACAATGGAGCATGAACCAACATTGTGTTTAGTGGATAGTGCAACCACGCGTACTATCCTAATGGATATGAGGTTCTTTCGTACCTTAAACAAATCAAGTAGTAATATTACTACCATTTCTAATGATCAGGTACAAATAGTGGGCTCCGAAAGAGCATCTATCATCCTCCCTAAGGGTACAAAGCTACTGATTGAAAATGCTTTGTTATACCCTCAATCTAAACGAACCTTTCTGAGTTTCAAGGATATTCGTTTGAATGGTTTCCATATTGAAACCAAGACTAAGAACAATGAGGAGTTCTAATCATGACTCAGTTGATCACTGGTAAAAAACGAGAGGTCGAGGAACTTGCCTCTTTATCTTCTGGGTTATATTATACCTATATACAACCCAATGATTCATTTGTTGCACTAACCATGAAACTCAAAAATCCACATTCTTTTCAAATGTGGCATGACTGTCTGGGTCATCCTGGACAGAATATGATGAGTCGGATCATATCTAATTTTGCTGGGCATAACCTGTCGAGATCTCAGGTACTTTCGCCAAATATGTTTACATGTGTGGCTTGTGCGAAAGGTAAATATATTGTACGCCTGTCGCGTACTAAGGTTGGACATGAATCGCCTATATTTCTGCAGCGATTACAGGGCGATATTTGTGGACCTAGCTATTAGTCCACCTTCTTGACCATTTAGATATTTTATGGTCCTTATTGATGCTTCCACTTGTTGAACTCATGTTAGTCTACTGTCCACGAGGAACAAAGCTTTCGCTAAATTTGTTGCGAAAATTATTGAGTTGAATGTCCAATTCCCAGATTATCCCATTAAATCAATAAGAATGGATAATGCTGGAGAATTCACGTCAACAGCTTTCAATGATTATTGTATGGCCTTGGGCATCAAAGTGGAGCATCTTGTACCTTATGTCCATACTCAGAATGGCTTGGCTGAGTCTCTAATTAAGCATATTAAATTAACCGCTAGACCATTACTGCAAAAGTCTGGTTTACCGGTCTCATGTTGGGGACATGCAGTATTACATGCTGCAGCCATAATACAAATTCGACCCAGTGCATATCATGATTATTTCCCCTTGCAACTACTATGTGGTGTAGAACCTAACATTTCCCATGTACGTGTATTTTGATGTGCAGCGAAAACTAGGTATATTTGTTGGTTATGAATCTCCTTCCATCATTAAATACCCAGATCTCATGACTGGAGATCAGTTTACTGCGAGGTACGCTGACTGCATTTTTTTATGAAGATCATTTTCCGGCATTAGGGGGAGATAAAAGACCTTATTTAACGAAATGCCGAGAAATCTCATGGGATGAAAATGATCTTCAGTATCTAAACCCACGTACTAGTCAAACTGAACTAGAAGTTCAGAAAATAATAAATTTGCAAAAACTTGCAAATAATCTGCCAGATGCGCTTACTGATTATAAAGGAGTAACTAGGTCGTATATTCCTGCAGAAAATGCTTCATCAAGAATAATTGTCCCCAAAGGACCAAATACTAACACTGACACTACCCAACGCTAGAAGCGTGGAAGACCAGTTGGTGCAAAAGATTTAAATCCACGGAAAACTAAAAACAATAAGCAATCACAGTTACTCCAAAATCGTCCTGAAAAAATAAAACCAGTGTAAATACACATGCTACAAATAAATCTAACACTGGGATTACGGAAAGACTTGGTTGAATTAAATATAGAATATGCCATAAACTTTCTCGAAACAGGATAAAATCTTAATAGAAATGTAACAGTCGTCGACGACCAATTCGCCTCTATAATTGCTCTTCACATTTCTTTCAATAATCTGGATCCAGAACCAAAAACTATAGTGGAGTGCCGGAAGCGCTCTGATTGGTTGAAATGGAAAGAAGCAATTGTGGTTGAGCTCAACTCGCTAAATAAAAGAAAAGTGTTTAGTCCTCCTATACTTACCCCTAAAGGCGTGATCCCAGTAGGATCCAAATGGCTATTTGTACGAAAGAGGAATGAACAAAATGAGGTGGTTAGATACAAAGCGAGACTGGTAGCTCAAGGGTTCTCACAGAGACCCGGAATTGATTTTGATCAAACATACTTTCCTGTTATTGATGACATTTCATTCCGCTATTTAATATCACTGCAGTAAACATGAAATTAGATATGCAGTTGATGGATGTAGTGACAGCTTACCTTTATGGGTATTCAAAATTCCAATATGAAGGAGAAAGATCAAAACATGTATAGCATCAAACTTCAAAGGTCATTATATAGCTTGAAGCAATCTGGGAGAATGTGGTATAACCATTTGAGTGAATTCCTCCCGAAGAAGGGATATGTTAAAAATGATATTTGCCTTGTATATTCATTAAGAAGTCATCTAATGGTTTCTGTATTATATCTGTCTATGTCGATGACATGAACATTATTGGGACAAAGAAAGACCTTATAGAAGCATGTTCATGCTTAAAGGCAAAATTTGAAATGAAAGGGAAAAACCAAGTTTTGTCTCGGCCTGCAGATCGAGCATCTCTCCAATGGAATTTTCATTCACCAAGCTAACTATGTTAATAAATTATTGGAGAAATTCTATATGGATAAATCTCATCCCCTTAGCACTCCAATGGTAGTCCGGTCCCTTGAAGCGGAAAAGGACCCATTTAAGCCTAAGGAGGATAATGAGGACGTACTAGGACCTGAAGTTCCTTACCTAAGTGCTATTGAAGCCTTGCTTTATCTGGCTAATTGCACTAGACCGGATATTGCTTTCTCGGTGAATTTACTTGCTAGATTTACTATCTCTCCAACCAGAAGACATTAGAGTGGAATAAAGCGTATCTTTAGATATCTCCAAGGGACAAAAGACCTTGGTATTTATTTTGAAAACAACCAGGACATTACTTTGACGGGGTATTCAGACGCTGGTTATATGTCTGACCCTCATACTGCTAAATCGCAAACTGGTTATGTTTTCCTTTGTGGAGGTACAGCTATATCTTGGAGGTCCATTAAACAGACCTTAGTTGCTACCTCATCTAATCACTCGGAGATAATTGCTTTATATGAAACCGCACGCGAATACGTATGGTTGAGGTCACTAATACAGCATATCCATCGCTCATGCGGAACAATGAGCAATGTTGATTCCCCGATTATCCTATATGAGGACAATGCAACATGTGTTGCACAG